AAAAATTAAAAGTAGTAAAGGCACGCAAACTGTACTCTCATTTTAGTAATAAAAATCAATTAAAAAGAAAATTTTTAAGAAAAATCGATTCAAATGTGAAACAAAACTCATTTTTGTTAAACATGTATAACAAAGAGGACTCAACTCTGGGTCTGTCTGTGCGCTATATTATCCCTTTTCATCCATTTCTTCGCTCTCATGAAAGTTCTGGACAATCGAGAGGACAACGAAGAGCTGGAAGGAGTTGTCGATTTGGTGTCACATTTGTGGTCCGTCTCCACGTTCTCTGTCGACGACGAGAAAGAGGTTTCGCTTTCAGTGGTTTGAGTCAAATCATTAGCGTTTGGCGTTTGAAACAATTCTTGCAATTCTTCTCTTTCATCGATTGGCAGCAGAAGAGAGTTGGGTCGCGAAGAGTTGGATCGCTGACCAGATTTAGTACCACGACGTCGATGTAGGCTTCGACTGTATTTGCGTTTGCGGTTAAAATGCCATTGAAATGGTGTTCCGCTTATTTTAGACCCACATTCATGTGATGAGGAACTGGATGTGTTTGGCAGAGAAGTGGCATTTGAGTCTAAATCGGTAGTCGACTCTTTTGTGGCCTTTTCAATACAGTGCTTATGGAGCACACAATTAGATCCACCAGATCTTGAAAACACCTTTAATATGCCAAATATACATCAAGGATATTTTTTATATGACATTTTCAGATTTGTTTTATTATATATTTTTTGTGTTTTCACACTAAAATTGTAATTATTTTCTTTTTATGTTAATTATGTTTCAAATATTGCTCATTAAATTGCTAATAATAGATCGTTTTTCTATTTAGGATAAGAAATGCAATTTATTCAAAATTGTGACCCAATTTGCAACAGAATTTAAAGCCTAAGACTTCTGTTACTTTTGTTATAGAAAAGCCCAAAACTACTGTCAAAAGAGTGAACTGAATGTAACGAGAAATGCATAAAACATTCAAACAAATAGAAAATCGATGTATTGATTGATTCTCACAATTATTGTTCTGTATTCTTGTAATTTTTACTATTTATTTGCATTCAGTTATTCTTATGTATATATACAGTAATTTAATTTTTAAATAAATGGTTAAATTTATGCAACAATTCGTGACTTGAATATTAAGATCTTTAAATCTTATTTACTATATATATACATGCATAAAAAATAAATATATACTATATAAAGTATATTATATACACTGTAAATAAATTATATAATTTAATGATAAAAATGATGTAATTACTCAACAATTAATAAAGATGTTAGGCATAATTAAAGATATATATATATATATATATATATCTGTATTTAGTATATAAGAAAAGGTGATTTATGTTGAATTTGGAAATAGAGACATACCTCACAAGGGCTGGAGACAGGACTCTGTCCATTGGGATCGTAACCAAACTCGACGTAATGCCTCACAAATACAGATCTCTGTTCACGGAATACTTCAGTGACAGGAGAGACAGGACTACTGGCCGGAGATATATAGAATGGATTAGTGTTTGCATAACTGCGGGCACTCCTGAGTACATGTCCCGTATTAAGTCCGCCATGACTTGTCTGTTTGAGCCGAAGAATCTTTGAACGACAGATGACACATCTTAAGGGAAGCATTCGCTGACTGACAACCATTTGAATCGTTTTGACGAAGCATTTTCGACAAACTACTCGATGGCCACAGGGATAAGTTTGCATGGTAGCTTTGGCACTGATGCATATCACACACTATCGGTGAACAAAAGTGTTCATTTGAACATTTATTTTTGTTAATGCGGTCAAGTTGTATACAAGTTTTCAGTTTTTATTTTAGGAATGTCTCTTAAGAATATTGTTTTCATTAATAATAGTCTAACTCGTAAGAATATTTATTTACTTATTATATTACAATACTAAATTGTAAATATAATATTATAATTTACTGTGTAGTACTGTATATTCAAGAAATGATTAACTATTAATTGTATAGGTTTTAGATCATGTGTCGACTCAATAAGGTTTGAGGTATACATTATTTATCTTATGAATAAATAGTTAAATTTCCAAGTAGGGTTATATAAACTTACTTTACTAGTATAACACTGTATAATAAAGTGACTGCTATTAATTAATTAATGCAATCAGTAAACAATGTAATGATTCTCCTCCTGAGTTCAGGCTATTATAGGTCTTAAAAGTGCATAAAAGTCATAGAAGTGATTGAAACGATGTCATCCATTAAAAACATATTAAGAATACCGTATTTTTTAGTTTATCTCTATTTTTTGTCTCAAATGATCGATTCTTATGAAGTCTGCAAAGTATTTATAGAATAAACTCAATTCCAGAGTATTTCCAAAATATATTTTTCTGATAATTCTTTTCCATTAGTCTTACCATTAACTGAAAATACTATAGTCTGTTATCTTTCTCATTAACTAAAAGCTGCAATCATTTAATGATGTCTTTAAGAATTTTTTATTCAATTTAATATCATTTGTTGTGACAAAATATAAATGCATTGAATTTGACAGTTTTAAATATACATTGTATCTAAAAAGTGAGTTTAGTCTATCACTATATAATTGAATGGGAGATAATTTGATTTGAAAAACTCTAACACAATACCTCTTCATCCGGTGATGTCGCCAATTGGGGATCGTTTTCATCTTCGAGTTTGATTAGGAGTTTGTCCTTTGAATAGACACAAGAAATCAATAGATTTACAAACAAAAGCCATGAATAGAGAATATATGTCAGCGTTTCTCACAATAGAAAGAATCTTAGACTTAGGAACTCATAGAAAGTGATTCTCATAATTCATTATAAGTTGCTAAAGATTTATAGGCTTTTCTAAAAATAACTCCAAAACAATCGATTACTATTTGAAATTTAGTTATTAATTAAACAGAAATTAAATACAACTGCAAATGAATAATTAGAATAATGATTATAATCTAAAAAAAATTTAAATTAACATTTTTAAAGGTTTAAGATACTGGTACTGGTAAAAAATGACTATTTCGTGATCAGGTCTGCAATCATTAAATGCTTCAATTAATTAAAATATAAAAATAAAATACTATTAGTAAAGGAGAAAAGATATTGTTATAAAGCAATAGATGTTGTCATTCGTTGTAATAAAGATGACATCGTTTGACATTTAAGCCCTCTCTTTCTCTCTCTCTCTCTCTCTCTCTCTCTCTCTCTCTCAGTCTACAAAATGCTTCGTTTAGAAAATAAAAAAATAAAGGAAAGAGAAAATATCACAATAACTTACAGTTTATACAGTATTATAGGAAATTTAAACAATATACAATATTTGATTTTCTAAATATATCATTTTAAGTAGTTGTATAGCACAGCATGCATAGAACTATGTTAAATATTAATTGTTTAATTTGTCATAGATATTAACAACATGTTCTATTCAACAACAGACTCAGTAAATAAAACTGATAATTAAGTGAATAAACAAAAACTGTCATCCCTTCTCATATAATTGACTCAATTTGTATTAATATTCATAAAATATAAAAATATATAGATTCAAATTTTGATCAAATGTTATAGTATTTTGTTTCATTTGTGTTTTTATTAAAATCCTTTTTTAAAATTATATTTTTTTGACATTTAGATGATGTTTATTGAGAATTGAAAAAATTAAATAATGCTGAATTTTTATAGTTTTAGTTAATATATTTTAAACAATTGTAGATTTCTATTTCATCTATGTACCGCATACCTTTTATTGTGTTCAGAATAATGCAATATTGCAAACTTGTTATTAATTCAACAAATATATTGCATTTATTTTATATCTAAAGTGATGTCCATTTGATCGCTTCTGTTATCGATCGGTTTGTGATGCAAAGTCTGACCAGAATTTTAAATTGAATCTAAATCTCAAGACTTTAAAGCGAATACAATACTTGAATACAATCATTAATCTTCCATAAAAATTAATTTTTCATTTTATAATCTAAATCTTATGGCATAAAAAATTTAGGCTACACTTTCATAATATATAACAATTTTTATAATCATAAATCCAGCCATTGTTCACTTTTTCAGAATATATGAATATAATAGTGTTTTTTCCTACACATAAGTTTATATAAAACAAAGTCCACTACCGTTATAACTTATATAATATTTTCCAATGTATAGATTCTGAAATAAATCTAAAACATAAAACATACTGTATTTTAAATTTAGTTGAATAGAATTCTTTTGAAATCAGAATCCGTGAAATTGAAAATAATAAGTATTATATTGATATATATTTTAGTTCATATTATAGTATTTTGTTGGATATACTGAATATAACGTTATATTAAATTCTCAAATTCTATAACTTATGAGAATATTAAGTGTTATACAGTATAGTGAGAGCACTACCACTCCACCCAACATTGATTGCATCTAAAGTATTAAGTCTTTTATAATATTATTGAATTAAAGTCTCATTAATAATCATTAGTTATTACCTAATAATAGTGTCATTCAAATGCTTTGGAATGACTTGTTGTGTAATTCATAAATACTGGAATTTTATATACATTTTGTTAGCCGGAATTTATCCATTAGATTCAATCGATTTTAACTATTCTTTACTGTTGTCCTATACTTGGCTCAAATATTTTATTACTTGTATATCAATTTATTATAATGTACTTTACTATACATAATATTCTGTAATATATAGTATAGAGCAGCAAAACTATTGTTAACTCAGTTATCGCATGTAATACATATAATTCTTGAGTAAATAAAGAATATATATATATATATAAACCGATCAACAGGTAAACTCACGTTTTATTGTTTTATTAAATGACATAATTAATCATTTTGCTGTACGATATTGATAGGTATAATAAAAATGTTTCTGAATATAATTCTTTGTTCAAACAAATCAAAGTACATATTACACAATATATCGGATTAATACATTAAATTTTCAATCAATATTTTAAATCTTATCTAACAGTTAATCAGTAAGTACTCATCAATTTAAGAGTTTGATGAATTGTTTTCTCCCAAATGTGACAATCAGTGCAAATAAATTGCAGTCTAAGCACACGTCAACTTATATTAACATTTTCATCAAAGAGAATCTCATTCGAGCTGCTCTCACAAAGTGAGCCAGCTATTTACTCAATTTAGTAACTAATTTACCTCAAAACTAGAATGCATTTTAGTATTATATCTCATATTCAATATAAAATTAAAATTAGAAATAGTCTACAGGTAAAATTATTCCTATAAATGCTATAAATTTCAAATATACATTAAATGTGAGTTATACTGTAAAAGCATCAGTGCATTTAATTAAAATATAATAATTATAAATCCAATTATTTTTTAAAAGGATTCAACTTGAGCTTAAAGTGTCAAAACCTATAATATAGGTAACGAATGATTTTTTTTGTATGAATACAATTACAAAGCACTCAAATACAGATAGCTTTAATAAAATAGAGTTGATAAAATAATTATTAATTCATTATTTGTAATTATCATGTCATCAATGCTTTAAATTATAATACAAAAGTGGAATTACGGTAATAATAATAATAACAATAATTGTAATAATAAATGAAACGAAACTTATATTTATGAGAATATGAATAAAGAAATAGAGATATGACTTACAATCTTATGGTTCAAATGAGTTAATTCTTTTTCGGTCACTCTTTTGGGATCAGTTACGTCGGTTTCGGACTCGTGTCGCTTGGGATCAGTTACTTTGTGACCGACAAACATATAGGACAGTATATGTGGCAAGAGTTGACTCACATTCAAATTGAGACAATTGTTGAAATGAGGCATTGAATGAATGACTGGAATAGTGTTTTGTCCAGAATTTGCAATCTTATGCC